TAAACTCAGATCTGGAACAAGTAAACGTAATTAACATTTATAGAACTCTCCACTTTAAATACACAAAATATACACTCTTATCAGTACAACATCGTATCAACTTAGAAGTTTAAACGAAATGTTGGTTGGCTCCTTGTTTTTTATTCTCTTCCCTCATTTTCTTTTATGTCTCCATTATTAAGGACAATTATAGGCATACCCATATTTAGACTGCATTCTAGCCTGGGCAATAAGGCAATACCCCCATCCTCTTTCCCTCTTCCTCTTTCTCTTTCTTCCTCTTCTTTATTCTTTTCCTTATTATTAAAAAAAAAAAAAAATCTAATCTCCTTTCCTTCTGCCCCACCTTTCCTCCCCGTTCTCTCTTCTTATCTCTAAAAAAAAAAAAAAAAAAAAAAAGAGGCACCTCAAACAGCCCTTTCACACTGCACATTACACACACCTTACCCTGGCTAACAGTCTAAATGTATGAGTGCTAAAGAGAGTGTTATTTCACAGTTTCATTTTTTTAATTAAAAAGCTTAGACTTCCAAGATCACAATTTAATTTTTTTTTTTTTTTTTGAGATGGAGTTTCTCTCTTGTTACCCAGGGTGGAGTGCAATGGCGCAATCTCGGCTCACCGCAACCTCCGCCTCCTGGGTTCGAGCAATTCTCCTGCCTCAGCCTCCTGAGTAGCTGGGATTACAGGCACGTGCCACCATGCCCAGCTAATTTTTTGTATTTTTAGTAGAGACGGGGTTTCACCATGTTGACCGGGATGGTCTCGATCTCTCAACCTCGTGATCCACCCGCCTCGGCCTCCCAAAGTGCTGGCATTACAGGCTTGAGCCACCGCGCCCAGCCCATCACAGTTTAATTAAGCTTTCATCCTTGGGTAGAAAAAAAAAAAAAAAGATTGAGAACATTTAAGTGTGGTAAGAAAGAGCTGGAATAGGGCATTCCAGGTTAAGAGAAAGGCATGTGCAAAGGCTTCATGTGGGATGAAGCATGACATCTATGAAGAGGTTGCTGGAGAAGAGTAAGGAAGGGAGAGATGTGAGATGAGGCCAGAAAAATACGTAGGAGCCAGACTGTGTAAAGCCTTATAGGCCATGTTAAATATTGTGGACTTTTTTCTTTTCTTTTTTTGAGACAGAGTCTCGCTCTGTTGCCCAGGCTGGAGTATAGTGGCATGACCTTAGCTCACTGCAGCCTCCACTTCTGGGTTCAAGTGATTCTCCTGCCTCAGCCTCCTGAGTAGCTGGGATTACAGGTGCCTGTTACCATGTCAGGCTAATTTGTTTTTGTATTTTTAGTAGAGATGGGGTTTCATCATGTTGTCCAGACTAGTTTCGAACTCCTGAGCTTAAGTTATCCACCGGCCCGGCCAATTGTGGACTTGAAGAACACTAGGAAAATATCGAAGGGTTTTCTACAAGGGTGTAGTGTGTGTGGACAGGAAGGATGACATCAATTTTATTTTGGAAAGGTTATTCTAGTAGTAGTAGTAAGGAAAGTAGGTTGGAGAGGGGCAAAAATGTAGGATGCTTTTGAGGAGGGTTGATTATGATAGCTAGGCTCTGTGTGCTGAAGGGAAAGTGTAGTAGTAAAGATGAAAAGATAGGACAATAAAAAGGACTGAGCCAAATATGAGGAATTGGTGGAAAAGAATATCAGTAGTGATTTCTAAGTTGCCAGCTTCTGCGACAGGATAAATATTGGGATCATTCTGAAAGAGGGACCCTTGGAAGAGAATTAGGTGTTAGTGCGAAGATCATGGGTTGATCTGATAAGTGACTTGGATACATTTGCCATATCCAAGGGGAGAGACATTAAATGGGTGGTGTATATAGGTCTGAAGCTCAGAGGAAAACTTAAGACTCGAAATATAAATAATGAAAAGTATTTAGCATATAGATAATAATTGATGTTGTGAGTATGATTGAGATTCCTTAGGAGAAAGAATATGGCAAGAGAAGATAAAAAGGCTTAGAACTTGAAATGCTAGTGATTAATAACTAAGTAAAAGAGAATAAACTCCAGAGGAGATGGAGGAGGAGGAAAAAGAAAGAATTTAGCAACTGTATTTCTGCACAGGTTGAAAGTTCTAAGATCATACTGCATACCTCATACGAAGTATATGTAAAATTGTTTTGTGTCTTGTCTCATGGTGAATATGCACAAAACTATACATGGTCCAAATTACTAAACTGTCTAAACAGAAAACATATGTTTCTCCTTCCTAAAACCACTACTCTACCAGTAGGCAAGCCAGACATTTCAGTCAGCTGATTTTTTTTAGCAGTCCTTTCCAGTTTTTAGTATCTATCCTTCTCCTCCCCACCCCTCCTTTTTTTTTAAGTCTAGTCAAGTGAAGCAGTGGGAGTGGAGAAGGAACAAAGAAATCTTTAACTGGTTGTGATCAATTAATTGTAAACACCACTGCACTCGGACCAGCCCCCTTTTTTCCCCCTGTCATCATATACTGCCTAGTTCATTCTAGCTTTTTCAACATCAAGATTTCCATCATTTTTTCTCCTTACACTGATCCAGTCATATTACCCTTGGTCAAAATCACTGATAGTTTTATCACTGCTACTAAATAGGTTTCAGACTTCTGAGTGTAGTGTTTCAAGGCCTTCCATGACCTGGCTCTAACTGGTTTTATCTATTTTGTCCCTCCCCTGTTCTTTAACACGCTTACCTGAGCATGCTCTGCATTTCCGAGATACTGCTTTTATTCATCTTATAAACACTCATGAAAGCACAGACCTTCCGTATTTTAGCATCCTATCAAGTTATTACTCATCCTCTCAAGACTGTTTCAGTGCCTCTCCTTCCAAAAAGACTTACCCAGTTTCTCTCAGTTGTATTGAATTACTCCTGACGTTTCCTTTCCATTGTCCTTTGCACCTTTATGTTAGTACTCATTTCATTTTGCCTTGCATCATTGTTGCTGCCTGTGCTACTTGGCAGCAAGCCTCTTAAGAGAGGGAGTACCATATCATATTTCTGTATATATTCTGCAAAGTGTTCTTTCCAATACTTGTAAATATTGAATAAGCCGTGGATATTGGAATATGAAGGAAGAGGCTGGGCACAGTGGCTCACACCTGTAATCCTAGCACTTCGGGAGGCCAGGGCAGGCGGATCATCTGAGCTCAGGATTTCGAGACCAGCCTGGGAAACATGGCAAAACCTTGTCTCTACTTAAAATAAAAAAGGTTAGCCAGGCATAGTGGCACATGCCTGTAATTCCAGCCATTTGGGAGGCTGAGTCATGAGAATCACTTGAGCCCAGGAGGCAGAAATTGCAGCGAGCTGAAATCATACTACTGCGCTCCAGCCTGGGAGACAGCAAGACTTTGTCTAAAAAAAAAAAAAAAAAAATTGAAGGAACAAATAGTATTTTAAGTGTTAATTTTTTTTTTTTTTTTTTTTTGAGATGGAGTTTTGCTCTTATTACCCAGGCTGGAGTGCAATGGCACGATCTCGGCTCACTGCAACCTCTGCCTCCTGGGTTCAGGCAATTCTCCTGCCTCAGCCTCCTGAGTAGCTGGGATTACAGGCACGCGCCACCATGCCCAGCTAATTTTTTGTATTTTTACTAGAGATGGGGTTTCACCATGTTGACCAGGATGGCTCGATCTCTTGACCTCATGATCCACCCGCCTCAGCCTCCCAAAGTGCTGGGGTTACAGGCTTGAGCCACCGCGCCCAGCTTAAGTGTTAATATTTTTTTTTTTTTGAGACGGAGTTTCGCTCTTGTTACCCAGGCTGGAGTGCAATGGCGCGATCATCTCGGCTCACTGCAACCTCCGCCTCCTGGGTTCAGGCAATTCTTCTGCCTCAGCCTCCTGAGTAGGTGGGATTACAGGCATGTGCCACCACGCCTGGCTAATTTTTTTATTTTTTATTTTTGAGACGGAGTTTCGCTTTTGTTACCTAGGCTGGAGTGCGATGGCACGATCTCGGCTCACTGCAACCTCTTCCTCCTGGGTTCAGGCAATTCTCCTGCCTCAGCCTCCTGAGTAGCTGGGATTACAGGCACATGCCACCATGCCCAGCTAATTTTTTTGTATTTTTAGTAGAGATGGGGTTTCACCATGTTGACCAGGATGGTCTCGATCTCTTGACTTTGTGATCCACCCACCTCAGCCTCCCAAAGTGTTGGGATTACAGGCGTGAGCCACTGTACTGGGCCTTGTGTTTTTTTTTTAAGTAGAGATGGGGTTTCACCATGTTGGCCAGGCTGGTATCAAGCTCCTGACGTCAAGTGATCTGCACACCTAGGCCTGCCAGATTGCTGGAATTAAAGGCGTGAATCACTGTGCCTGGCCCAAAAACTATTTTTTTAAATAAAAAGTAATACATTTGTTAGGAAAATGAGAAAACATAAGTATGCTTTTATATTTGATTTATTTTTAAAAGTCATTCAGGATTGATACAGCAAGTATCAAAGAATAAGCTTTCCAACATGGTAGAAGTGAATTAAGTGACCAATAATCTGCTTAGGAGTTACTCTTTGTTTATTATTTTTGTTGTTTGGTGTGACTATTTTATTTGCATACCCAATTTAAGTTAATGAAAGCAGTTTATTGGGATTATATATATATATATATTTTTTTTTTTTTTTTTTTTTTTAGACGGAGTTTCTCTCTTGTTACCCAGGCTGGAGTGCAATGGCGCGATCTCGGCTCACCGCAACCTCCGCCTCCTGGGCTCAGGCAATTCTCCTGCCTCAGCCTCCTGAGTATCTGGGATTACAGGCACGCGCCACCAAGCCCAGCTAGTTTTTTGTATTTTTAGTAGAGTGGGATTTCACCATGTTGACCAGGATGGTCTCGATCTCTCGACCTCGTGATCCATCCGCCTCGGCCTCCCAAAGTGCTGGGATTACAGGCTTGAGCCACCACGCCCGGCCTAATGATTTGATTTTTCTAATAGGAAAACTTTAGAAATGAAATGTTAACTTTTTCTCAGTCATTAAATTTGATTTTCTCTTTCTCATTAATGCAGCTCTCAAGAGGCAGAATTTATATAATAATCCTTTCAACTCTGTGAGTTACACAAGTCCTTACAGTCCAAATGCCAGTAGCCCATACAGCAGTGGCTTCAATTCTCCATCCTCAACCCCAGTGCGACCTCCTATAGTCAAACAGCTTATACTTCCTGGAAATTCAGGTAAGGAGGATATGATACAGCGTTATTAAGGAATGTTTTTCAACTTACTGTACTGTATCAGAAAGTAACATTCATCTGCAGTTCAAGTTCATTTCATTTATGAAACTTTTAACTGGTTAAGGAAAATATTATTGAGGAGCAACTTTGCACCAGGTAGTGTATTAGGCACCAAAGGTATAAACATAAGCCAGTGTGTTAAATACATACATTTTCTTTAGCATGTATCTGAAAGTTTGTAAGTCTGGCTTAATTAAATGGGGTTACCAATGTGATTCTTTTAATCAATTGATCCTTATTGAGCAGCCTTCTTGGGTTGTAAAAACTAGAGTTAAAAACTCTTTTTAGGAATTTTAATAAACTTGGATACTGCAGCTAAATAATAGTATGAGGTTAGATGTGAAATACCAAAAAAGTCGGAGGAGCAGTAAATGATGTGGAAATGCTAGATTGCTGTAAACCAGGGAACGAATGTTCTGCTCGGGTTCTGTTTGTGAGACTGTTACTGTGTAGCTTACTCGTCAAGAATTCACCCATTAATTTACTCTTATTGTCGCTGCAGCTGTTTTTATGACTATTGTAACTTCCTTAAAAATTAAGGTTAACCATCTCAAATTTTGACCTGTGCACTCCATAGTCTAATGATCCTGCTCTTTGCTTAGTATATAGGTTGTTATTTGCCACTTACTGCACCTGTGACAATATGTTAAAAAGTTTAACCTGCAATATTTGTTTTAAATAAGTAATTTGATTCAGGCATTATTTGAACCTGACCTTGTAGGACTTTTCCTGTCATGTGTACTCAGCTCTTCTTTCATTAATAGCGTAAAGATGAATTATTTTTTATTTTTCTTGCTCTCCTTACATGTTTTTCATGTTGGAGCTGACTGTTATGGTGAAGAATTCTGGAAAACAAGTGTTTCAGATAAATCTGTATTAGAAATATTAGTGCCATTGTTGGGATTTTATTATTTAGTAAAAGTTGATGAACTGATGAAAGTATTTCATTAGAAACAAGTTAGACTTTTTTGATGTGTGTATTCTTTATTTCACTGGCCTTTCTGTCTTCCTTTTGGTTTATAATGATAAAGTACTTTTTTTGTTGTTTTTTTTTTTTTTTTTTTTTTTTTTTTTGAGACGAAGTTTCGCTCTTGTTACCCAGGCTGGAGTGCAATGGCGCGATCTCGGCTCACCGCAACGTCCGCCTCCTGGGCTCAGGCAATTCTCCTGTCTCGGCCTCCTGAGTAGCTGGGATTACAGGCACGCGCCACCATGTCCAGCTAATTTTTTTTTGTGTTTTTAGTAGAGACGGGGTTTCACTATGTTGACCAGGATGGTCTCGATCTCTCGACCTCGTGATCCACCCGCCTCGGCCTCCCAAAGTGCTGGGATTACAGGCTTGAGCCACCGCGCCTGGCCTGATAAAGTACTTTTTTTAAAGAATATATAATATTTTATTGCATTTTATGTTCTGGGGTACATGTAAGGAACATGCAGGATTGTTGCATAGAATGATAAAGTACTTTTTATAAATCTAGTCTTCTTTTTTTCATCCCAGGTTTTGTGCTTCACTACTAAACTTTAGAGAACTCTTTAGGTCCTCATTAGTAATTTGGCAAAGGAATTTTGTAAACATGGCATAATATAGGAGAAACAAGCCTCCTGGTCTTTGTTCCTAAATCTCTAAGGAATCTTAATTTTCTTCAAATTATAGTTTTCTTGTTTAAAAAAAGTAGATGCTTTTATTCAGGGAAAAGATGATGGTGTTTGTTAATGACTGTGAGTTTGGGAGAAGAAAACACTACAACAAACTCATCTATTTATAGAGCAGTTTGATTGGCTGTCTTGTGCAAGTTGAAATCCTTAACATGTAGTTACTGAACACCAGTTACTTGCCAGGCACTGTGTTGAAAGCTGAATTGTTAAATAAGAGAACAGATAAGTTATACTTAGATGTAAATATGTTTTGTATTTATGCCATAGCATGTAAAGTAGTATGTATTAGTGTATATAATAGGTTCTCAATAAACCTCATTTTTCTTAAGGAGGTCAATTTCTAATTTCAGGGAAATTTTTTAAGGAGAAAAGGCAGAGTAAGAATGAATTAAATCAAAGGATATAATATCAAGTTAATTGCAGTAGGCATTTATTCAATAGTTCCTCTACCAAAGTGTGAATTTTTTTCTTTTTTTAAAGGTAACTTGAAAAGCTCATCAGACAGAAATCCTCCACTCAGTCCTCAGTCCTCTATAGATAGTGAGTTAAGTGCTTCAGAATTAGATGAAGATTCAATTGGATCCAATTATAAGCTAAATGATGTAACTGATGTACAGATTCTAGCCCGGATGCAGGAAGAAAGTAAGTATTCTAATTAATTGTTGAGAGTTGAGATTTTTTTTACTATTGCATAATTTTGTTGTGTATTAAACATGTCTTAAAAGTGTCGTGGGGATAGTAATGTAGTGAAAGTAGAAATGTTGCAGTAGGCATTGCAGAGGCTTAGTCAACATATGTACATGTTTATTCATTAAGTTGTTTTCAGAGTCCATTTTTACATAGAGCAGTTATGCTGTGTGAGGGACAAAGAATAGCATTTATGCTGCTCTGCTTCTGTGACTGGTATTCATTCTCTGCATGTTATTCTGCACTGGTACTCACTCGTAATTCTTATCTATTGTCCTGTGTTCTTTAGTGTAAACCAGCGTTTCTCAATTTTTTCTTTTTAGTTGCTCCCCTAAGGAGCCTTCTAAAAATCTTTTTTTTCCTTTTTACCCCCACTCCCCATGAAATCTTAATACCACACTATATACACTATATATGTTTAAGTACTATGAGGGCCATATACAATTATGAAGTCTAGGAATTTTTTTACACCCCAAGAACCAATTTTTGGCCTCTTGGGAATAAATATCTCCTCACTTGGGGAATACATGGTATAAACTATAAAAAAGACCTTTAGGAGAAAATTGGAATTGTGACATTAAATTAAATGAAGCATGTGATGGTACGTTGCAGAGTGAACCATGAAAACTTTTTAGGTCGCAGATATCTTTGTGACTCCTGTAAAAATTATGACTCGGTTTATCATCAAAATGTACACATGCACAGAATTTTTAATACTTATTTAGAGGGTTCATGGCTATTTGCCCTGGTCACCATCTGAAAGTAGTTATTTTGTCTATGCATTTCATTAGGAGACACCATCTGCTTAACTATGAAGTAAGACATTTCTCTAAAGTAATCTCTTTAACCTTTACAATGAAAAAAATCCTTGAAATACATATTTTAGAGTCTTGACAGTTGGCTGAGGGTAATGAAGCATTGCCATGATTTAGTTCAAAAACTTTCTGTTGTCTGTGTATATAATAGGTTCTCTTTAAATATGTAGTAAGCTTTATCAAGCTGTAGCATTTTAAGAAACTAGTGTTTCTTACTCTGCTGATTCACTTCCCCTAAAAAGATAGAAGGACTTAGTGCTTGCTTTATTTAACCCTACAACCTAATAGCATAGGACTCTTTTCTTCCGTAATTTTAATTAACTCCTCACTGAGACTGTGGTATTGTCAGCTGGTTAGGGGCTGGTTATTGTTGTGGATGTGAAAAAAATAATGCTGCCTAACTCTGTACCTTAGAATAATTCTCTCATTTCTTTGAACCCTAGCTTTTTAGATTACAGTATTTTATTACAAGCTCAACCAGCTCTTTGCTCTTGGTTTTGTATTGTGTTTTGGTAACAATAGAAATTTTAGTCTTGCTTTAAGAATTTTTTCTAAGCCTGGTGAATAATTTTCCTGGTGAATAAAAATAATAATAAAAATACATGTGATACTTCCTTGAAAACTGCAGCTTCCTCCCTGCCCTTAGAGATGATTTTCCTTTTTACAGTGTTGTTTTTTGTAATAATTAGAAATGTGGAATTACAGATTTAGGCAGTTGCCTGGTCAAGGTCCTTCATTTTTAAGATGAAAAATGCAAGATCCTATAGTGATTGTGACTTCCTTAGGATCCACTTGTTAGGAGAGCCTACATCGGGAACTGGATTTTTCTTTTCTAACAGTGCTCTTTTCACTGGTCTCTTGTCTTTTGTTAGGTGACTTTAGTGCCATGTTGGCTATAACTAGATACTAAGTAGCTTATTGGTTACTATTTTGGTTCCCAAACTGAATGAAGGGCTACGTGGACTCTAGGAATTTATAGTTTTAAAGATAACCTAGGGTGATTCTCATCTACTAGTTTGATGAACCATGTTAATAATAGCACTTTCTGTGTGTGAATGCAGGACTTAAGGATTTGAGTACCACTTTATAACAGATCTTTTTGACTAGAGTGCCAGTAGTTAGCAGGACGTGCTGAGAGTATTACCTAAATTCTATACTACCGCATCGCAGTTTGCTTCCTCATTGAATATGTTACATATCAACTTTTTTTCTGTTGTTCTAGAAGAGGCTATACTCCTTGAAGTACTCCCAAGGTTGCTTGGGTATTTTTGAAGGTATCAAGCTATATAGAATTCTTTGAAAATTCTTACTTGAAGACTTAGAATTTAAGCTTCAAAACAAGCTTAAAACAGTAAAAATTGAAGTCTCTTGAGTAATGAAGCAATCAAGATTTCCTTTGTGCCTAAGTACTGAATTCCTAAAAGTGGGTTAGGTGTTTGTTTAATACTTTATACTTTTCATGAGTAAGATTACTTTAATAATTAAGTATCCAAGGAGTTTTATTTACTCACATATGTATTCTTTTCCACTGGTTGGATGGTAATTGTTTCCCTTAAATATTCCTTTAATATTACTCTCAAATTTGGATTACTATCTTTAGGGGTAGACATATTTTCAAATTTGTGATTCTACCATGTGAGACAGATTTCAGATTTAAGAAGAAATCTGGAAATTGGGCAGTGGTTTATGGGATTTCGTTTAATTTAAAAATAACCTTCAGATGTGGTTTATGCATCCTTAAAGGGGAGGATGTCTAAAAGCAGAAAGGGAGTTTTTGTTGTTTTTTTTTTTGTTTGTTTGTTTTTTTTTTTTTTTACACTTTACACCCTATTCGAATTGCTCAGTGATAATCTTTTACTTTAAAAATATTTAAATGTCTAAAAATATAATTTAAATAAATAACATTCATTGTTGCCAGGTCTCCGGCAAGAATATGCAGCCACCACGTCTCGGCGCAGTTCTGGTTCTTCTTGCAATTCTACAAGACGGGGTACTTTCAGTGATCAGGAACTTGATGCACAAAGTTTAGATGATGAAGATGACAATATGCATCATGCAGTATACCCTGCTGTTAACAGGTTTTCACCATCACCACGCAATTCTCCTCGACCGTCACCTAAGCAGTCACCCAGAAATTCACCTCGTTCACGATCTCCTGCTCGGGGAATAGAATATAGTAGAATGTCCCCACAGCCTATGATTAGCCGCTTACAGCAACCTCGCCTTTCACTTCAAGGCCATCCCACAGATTTACAGACAAGCAATGTTAAAAATGAAGGTAAAACAGCAGATTTCACTGTTAATTAGATAGTTTCTGCTCGCCTGTGCAACAACATAGCAAGACCCTATCTCTAGGAAGAAATTAATTAGCTGGGCATGGTGATGTACATCCATAGTCCTAGCAACTTAGGAGGCTGAGGCTGGAGAATTGGTTGAGCTCAGGAGTTCAAAGCTACAGCGAGCTATGCTCACACCACTGCACTCCAATCTGGGCAACAGAGTGACACCCTGTTTTTTTTTAAAGGGTCCTTTATGTTTTATTATGAAAGTAATATAATTTTTGCCAAGCTTTTGAATTTCAGATAAGAAAATGAAGAGTTTAGTCAAGTTTATTATTTTATTAATAATCATTACAAGAATAAAGGAGAAAGTGAATTTCATTTTACTTGCTTATGTTATTTTTGCTTTGTTTTCTTATGAAGTTATTTGTATTTAGATTTTGATTTAAATATATGATTTGTGGTTATCTTTAAGGGTTCTCTTATTCTACCCACTTACAGATCCTAGATTGAGGTTTTTTTTTTTTTTAAATAAGACAAATCCTACTTGTTTTCTCATATAAAATAAACAGAATATTTGGCCTGGCGTGGTGGCTCATGCCGATAATCCTAGCTCTTTGGGATGCCGAGGCGGGCAGATCACAAGGTCAAGTGATTGAGATTGTCCTAGCTAACATGTTGAAACCCTGTCTATACTAAGAATACAAAATTTAGTTGAGCATGGTAGTGCACGCCTGTAGTCCCAGCTACTCCAAAGGCTGATGGAGGAGAAGTGCTTCAACCTGGGAGGCGGAGGTTGTAGTAAGCCGAGATTGTACCACCACACTTCAGCCTGGCAACAGAGACTACATCTCAAAATAAATAAATAAATAAAAATGTTAAACAATGTAATTTTTGGATGCTAATTAATAATTTAATTTTCTCCATCTCAAAGAATTAAAAAAAATTTTTTTAATTACAATTCTATTGCAGAAAAACTAAGACGCAGTCTTCCAAACCTGTCCCGAACATCTAATACACAAGTTGACTCAGTGAAAAGCAGCAGAAGTGACTCAAATTTTCAAGTGCCAAATGGAGGAATACCTCGCATGCAACCTCAGGCTTCAGCCAGTAAGTATCCTTCTTATGCTTTCATGTATCAGTTATTTAAAGATAAATGAAAATTTTAGGTATCTGTTTTGTGCTGAAAAAAATTTTAAACTATAGCTGTAGTAAAATTTAGTGTTTATTAGTTGCTGGATGATAAAGTTATATCACAGTTTTAAATTTTTTATGTAGGATATTTGATTCTGCCAGTACGTATATCTATAAGAAACTTTGTTCTCGCCAGAATTTTAAAATAAGCAAAGTGTGACTATTAAAAATGTAGGCGTAGCTTCTGCATATAAATATTTGAAGAGGAAATAATAACCAGTATAGTATCCAAAATCTATGTCCTTTAGTAAGTACTTAAATTTTCTTTAATAATCTCCACTTTAAAAATACCTGAAAGCTTGATTATTACATAATTTTAGAGTCATACTCAAAATAATCAATTCATTGTTCAAACCTGTAATATATTAAATCTGTTATCAAAATTGGATTGTTGAAGTTGTTCTTTTCTTTCCAGAACGAAAGTATACCAGGAGAACTCTTGGATGCTCTCATTTTATTTCTGCATCTGTTGAGATAAATTTCTAGTTTGGGTTTAATTTTCTGTGTCTGCTGAGGCTGTTTTAATGAAAAATACAATATTGAATCAATATGTATGTCAAATTAATCCATAATCCTCATCCTACTTATAACATAGATTAAAATTTGAGATAAATTGCCAGAAACCATCACTTTTTTAAGAATTGATCAGGACTTTTCTATTTAAATTATCCTTCAGAAAACAAATTCTTAGATTTTAAACTCTTTTTTTTTTTTTTTGTTTTGTTTTGTTTTGTTTTGTTTTGTTTTGTTTTGAGACGGAGTTTTGCTCTTGTTACCCAGGCTGGAGTGCAATGGCGCGATCTCGGCTCACCGCAACCTCCGCCTCCTGGGTTCAGGCAATTCTCCTGCCTCAGCCTCCTGAGTAGCTGGGATTACAGGCACATGCCACCATGTCCAGCTAATTTTTTGTATTTTTAGTAGAGACGGGGTTTCACCATGTTGACCAGGATGGTCTCGATCTCTCAACCTTGTGATCCACCCGCCTCAGCCTCCCAAAGTGCTGGGATTACAGGCTTGAGCCACCGCGCCCGGCTGATTTTAAACTCTTAAACAGAGAAGGTGGATTTTAGAACTATAGGAGGAAAAACACGTAGATTATAATTTTTATTAAGTTTTGGTCATTGGATGGAAACTAACCCCTGAATGTGACAGTGTTTTTTTTTCAGCTATGGTTTGTAATAAATATTTGAGTTGTTATTTTGTGGCAAGTAGTACATTAAGTGAGTACAGGCACATCTGCCGTAGCAGAAAATACACATTCTTTAAAAACCTCACATTCGGCAGTATTACACAATAACAGTGATAGATGGTGGGCGATGGGGAACATAGTACTGGAGCATACCACTGAAAACCCAAGCAGCTTTCTTTGAAAGGATTAATTAAAAACAGTAATGACACTAGCACAGTTAAAGGCATGTTAAATCCTTAAAATACCCTAGGAGATACTGAACTTCATTTTTAAAGAAAGATTTGAAGATGTGGTGGAAAGGAAAGGTTGACACTGTTGAATTAAGGAAACATTTGCAACGTAGACAAAGATTAGAGAGAATCATACAGTAAGAACGTCCAGGACAAAATAGCCAAACTGAGCCAAGAAGTAGTGATGTGAAGGTAAATGGGTATTGTGTATATAAATGTACAAGACAATTTTAAAAGAATGGAACACTTTCAAAAAATTAACTGCTTTTTGGCCGGGCGCGGTGGCGCACACCTGTTTTGGGAGGCCAAGGCAGGCGGATCACGAGGTCAGGAGACCAGGACCATCCTGGCCAATATGGTAAAACCCCATCTCTACTACAGATTTAAAAAATTAGCTGGCCATGGTGGTACGCACCTGTAGTCCCAGCTACTCCAGAGGCTGGGGCAGGAGAATCACTTGAACCAGGGAGGCGGAGGTAGCAGTGAGTCGAGATTGTGCCACTGTACTCCAGCCTGGTGACAGACCGAGACTCTGTCTCAAAAAAAAAAAAAAAAAAAAAATTACTGCTTTTTGACTAGGATAGATTTGAACATGTAGTCAAAACAGTTTTAAATAAATGATTACAGCTATTTTTATGATCTTATAAACACTCAGTATTCATCACATGTGTTTCACAGCTCACATCAGTCCTGTATATGAGCTGTGATACACAAAGGATGCATATTCACTCGGGTCCTTGTAGGGACACAAGGGATGCTTATTCACTCAGCTCTTTGTAGGCACACAGTGAATGCATATTCTCTCAAATCCTTGTGACATATTACTATCAGTGGTTGAAGTGAAAGCTGTGTTATGTTTTCTCAAGACTATGAAGAAGAATTGATACAAACGAGTTTATCGACTGTTCACTTATAACTTGTTTATTAAGCAATTAAAAATTTGAAGGTATTTAATCCTTTTTTCATTTTTTTTTTTTTTTTTTTTTGAGACGGAGTTTCGCTCTTGTTACCCAGGCTGGAGTGCAATGGCGCGATCTTGGCTCACCGCAACCTCCGCCTCCTGGGTTCAGGCAATTCTCCTGCCTCAGCCTCCTGAGTAGCTGGGATTACAGGCACGCGCCACCATGCCCAGCTAATTTTTTGTATTTGTAGTAGAGATGGGGTTTCACCATGTTGACCAGGTTGGTCTCGATCTCTCGACCTTGTGATCCACCCGCCTCGGCCTCCCAAAGTGCTGGGATTACAGGCTTGAGCCACCGCGCCCGGCCCCTTTTTTCATTTTTATCTTTTTTTTCCCCCCTTTTTTTAAATTGAGACAGGGTCTCACTCTGTCACCAGGTTGGAGTGAAGTGGCGCAATCATGGCTCACTACAGCCTCACCTTTTTGAGCTCAAGTGATCCTGCTATCTCAGCCTCCCAAGTAGCTGGCACCACAGGTGTGTGCCACCATGCCTAGCTAACTTAATTTCTTTGCACTCTTCCTTGGCCCTGTTGTGTTTAGTTGACTTCATGTACTTCATGTTAAGCTGCTCTTTCTTGGTGGCTCAAAAACCAGCAGACTAGCAGGAGTTTGAGACCAACCTGAGCAACAGAAGACCCCCGTCTCTTAAAAAAAAAAACGTTTTTTTAAAAAATTAGCCGGGCATGATGTCACATGTCTATAGTCCCAGCTACATAAGAGGCCAAGGTGGAAGGATTGCTTGAGCCCAGGAGTTTGAAGCTGCTGTAAGCCACGGTTATGCTGCTGCACTCTAGTCTGTTGAAAAATAACAAAAATCAAGCTAGGGAAAAAACAATATTTGAATCAGAATGACTTCTGTGATATATTGACAAATTTTCCTTATTTACCAGTTGAATATATTACTTATATAACAGAAATTTACATTATACTGTAGTTGCATAATCTTATTTGATCCTTAGAACAAGTCTATGAAGGAGGTACAATTATTACCACGTTCTACAGATTAGAAACTGAATCTCTGAATGGCTAAATAACCTATCTCTGATCATACAGCTTATAAGCAGCAAGTTAGAATTTAAACACATGTTAATTTAGCTTGAGCACTGTATCTCACTAGGTGAGAGTCCAAATTTAGTGACATTTGCCACATCTATGATTTAGACCACAGTATAAAAATTATCTGGAAGTATAATTTCCATCTTCCCTAAGATTTAAAATTCTAACATTTAAAGCATTGTTACCTAGAAATTTGTATACCACATTTATTCGGCTAGATATATGCTAAAACCTGTTTTTGTAGCAAATTACATTTTAAACTTAGTACTCCAAGTCTTATCTGATATTGTGAACTCTGTAATTAAGAGTGCCATTATGATACTCATTGTGGTACTAACAAATCGTATAGAAAACAGGAATTCACAAAACAGTTGTGTTTTGAAAGGAAGGATAGAATTTGAGTTTTATCTTTGAAATGGTAAGTGATAAGTTTTGTGCCTTCAAATTAAGTTAATTTGACACTTGAGAATATCCTGTTTCTGGCCTCTTTTTTTCCCCTGACACCTTTGGTTGATGGAAAAAGACACCCACAGTGTTAATGTATCAGGAAAGAAAAATTGTAAATCAATAAGAAGGTTAAGTAATAAAACTTAACATATATTATAAGCCATGCTTTTACAGCATATGAACAAATTATAGAAAATGGTGTTTATACTTGGCTTTCAAAGATTCTTTCATATTTAGTTTGAATTGTTATGTTCTCAATTTCTCAAAACTTTACGTGATACATGTCCAAACAGTGAAAAATAATTCTGCTCAAAAAAAGAAGAAAAAAGAAAAGGTTGGGAACCTAGAATAAAAACGTTAATAGAAATAATTCATTGGCCGTATCTTAAACTTCACACTGATTGCTTGCCTACTCTAGTGGTAGAATTACCATTGTGTAATTATAATCGTCTGCTGATAACCCTATAGTTTTTTTCTGGAGGTGAATTACTTTTCCTTTTTCCTCAGAAGTTGATAATTAAGGAATATATATAGGGAAGACACAATGTGATTCTAATCATTGATTTATGTGGAAAATACATGAGCAGTTTTGTAATGGTGTATTTAAATATTTGAACATAAAGGCAGAAGAGAAAGTAAGATACCGTCTTTTTTTCAATTGTATGTACTTGTTTATATTTGTAGCTGTAGTAAAACTTAAAATGTCACATTTGTTTGGTGTACTATTCTCAAAAATGTATTTGGAAGGTAGTAAATTCAAAATATTAGCAAGTTTAAAACTTAGTAGAGTTTACTTTAAAATGTTTAAAACTTTGTTGAAAGTTAACATGAAACAAAATGTTATTGATTTATCTTGAAATTTCATAAATATAATTGGTACATGAAAATAAGCATTCTTTTAATTTGTATACATATTTTTCATAATAGCCTTTTAATTTTGATATATAATTATGTACAATTACAATAAGCTTTATATACTTTATACATGAATTGGTATTTTGTATTTTTTGGGTAAATTTCAGTTGTTAGTGTA